GTTTGTAATTTTTTAAATAATATTTTATATAAAATAAATACATAAATTATATAATATTTTAAACCGAAAAATATAAATAAAAACTAAATTATAAACATATAATGACGAATTTGTTTATAAATATAATATCTAAGTATGGACTTATGGTAAAAAAATTATTTACCAATTTCAAATAACAAAATTATTAAAATTTTAAATATCAAATAATATATAATATTATTTTTGGTGTAATATTTGGTGTTATAGCTGGAGATGACAAAAAGATTTGACACCAAAATACTAAATTTGATGTAATTTCAACACTAAATTTGATGCCATGATTGAAGATACCCTAAAAACAATAACCACATGTGTAACCATTTGTTTGCTAAAAATAATTGTAAAATGTTTTATCGACTTTCAAATTTTAACATCTTTGTGGTTCCTAATTTCTCGTTTATATTTTGATTTTCTTTTCACAAACAAAACATATATATGTTACACAACTTGCAAGCTTTCCTTATAGTATCTCCAATCTCATTCTACTTTATTCCAAAATAAATTATAAACGAAAAAATGTTCCAGTCATATTTTATTTCTTATTCTATAATAGAGAAGATGAATTTACTCCATGATGGAGCAAATTGAATAATCCACTTTCGTTGTTGTTTATTCTTATATTTTCCACTTAAAAATAGAATAGGATTAGAGAACTCAATCTCATTATAGAATTATTTTATTTTAGAATAGTGTAATTTTATATTGGTGAGACTTTTACTGATTATAATATTATTAGAATGATGATAGAAGTTGGTTTAATGTTCAAACGGATCGTGTGTTGTGTCGCTCATCAAGAAAATTTGAGATGACTAATTAGGTTTTAGTAGGAATTTGTGTAATTTAATTATATAAAACATGAGACATTTATACTATTATTTAAGAAGTAATTTTGCTTAGTTGTCAATTTCTCTATGAATTTAGATATTTTGTTTATTATCATATTTTTAATATTTATATATAATTATTGATAAATAAAATGAATTTATATGAATATATCATATTTTTAGACAAATGAGATAATTATTGTGAATTGAGTTGTTATCTTGAAATATAATATATATAAAATTAAATTTTAAATTAAGATATAAAAATTATTTATGTATTATACGAATTTATACTAATAATTTTATATTTTTCTAAAATAAGATAATTCTTATGTATTATGTTGTTATGTTGAAAATATATTTTCCTATTATAAGTAAAATAAAATATAAAATTATATTCTTAATAATTAAATATAAATTATCAAATGAATTACTTGAAAATTGAATTTGTTGATTTGTCAACTTCTCCACGTATCTAGGTAATTTTGATCATTTATCAGAATTTTTTTAATTTTGTTTATTATTGATTATATAATTAAAACTAATTTACATTAATAAGATGATATTTTTGAAAATAAGTTAATTCTTATGTATTATGCTGGTATCTTGAAAATATATTTTTCTATTATAAATTTAAAATTAACATGTAAAAAATATATACTATTATTTAATAAGTGAATTTGAAGTTTGCTGATTTGTCATATTTTCCATGATTTTCGGTAATTTTGTTAATTTATAAAAATTTCTATAATTTTATATATATTTCAAAAAAATATTAATAGTATTAGAATCTTAGAAAAAAGATACTTCTTATGTATTAAGTTGTTGTCTTGAAAATATATTTTTCTTTAAGAAATTTAAAATTAAGATATAAAAAATTGTAGTTGTTCTATAATTAAAATAAATTACACTAATAATATTATACTTTTAGAAAATAAGGTAATTCTTATGTATTATGTTGTCATCTTGAAAATATATTTTTATATTATATACTTTAAAAGTAAAATAGAAAATTATCTATTATTAATTAAATATGAATCACCACTCAAGCAAAATTATTTTAAAAGTTAATTTGCTAATTTGTTAAGTTCTACATGATTTTAAGTAATTTTCATTATATGTTACCATTTCTATAATCTTATATTATTATTACATAATTAAAAAGAATTTATCCTATTATATTTTTTAGAAAATAAATAACTTATACATTATATTATTATATTAAAAATATGTTTTCTATTATAAATTTAAAAATTAAGATATAAAAAATTATAATTAAATATAACTGAAGTAAAAATATTTGTATAAATATTACAATTAAATATAAATCAAGTAAAATAATTATAGAAATATATTTTTTTAAATATTTCTTATGTTTGAGTTTTTTCATGTATAATTATTTGATGTTTGATTTGTACTTTTTGAAAACATAAACAATAAATTAATGAAACATCATCTAATAAATATTTATAAGAGAATTATACTCGCAAGTGCGGGTAAAATACCTAGTTCAATATAAACATGACACGAAATATAACTATAGTCATCATATTATATGTGTTACTGTTAGTTTAAATTATAGTATGCATTATTATAATATTACAAATAATATACTTTTTTATTTTGTTGCTTATTTACATTCTAAAAAGATAACACAATAAAAAAGTAATTTGAAATATATGTTCTCATATATTTAAAATTATTAAACAAAACTAAGTTCTTTTTTCTTTCAAATCCATCAATAGAGTGTATGAAATATATGTTCTCATAATGTCCTTGGTCATCATTCTAATCGAAAGAGAAACTTCCGCACATCAATTGCGATTGAAAATGTTTTCAATGAATCATCATAGCATATCAAGAAACACGATGATGCCTAATCTCATCACCACTATTGATTTAATAATTCCTATTATGCAACCGAATTTCTTTCTCACCTTACCTGACATCAATCATAGTCCTCCACGAAAATAAAGAAAAAGAAAAGAAGGGGCATATGCATTATCTAACGATAACTTATTTTTTGTCAAAAACAAACACATGTATATTAATTTGAAAGAAACATATCATATCAGGTGAGATTTTGTTACACTGGTATTATCTATATACAGGGCTTGACCTAGGATATTATTTAATATGTGGCACTATAAATAAATAAATATATTAAAATATTAAATCATTTACTGAATTGGATTTTATTAAAAAAAAATTAAAAAGATTATATCAATCACTAAAATTTTACATCTTATCTTTTAAATGAACCATATAAAGAAATAATAATTTCATAATTTTTTGATAATTATTTTTCCTAATTCTAAATCTTCATTTTAAGTAATGTTATAAATTATATACTGCATATAATAGTTAATACCTTTGTTACTTTTAGTTTTGTTGACCTAAGTATAAAAATATTAAAAATAATATAATAATATAATAATTGTAAGAGTGGAATTGGAAAAAAAATTCTAGTTTTTATTATGGATAATTTAGTATTAAGAAGAAAAGAAAAAGATTACGAAAGAAAGAAGAATAGTTTATGTAGCAAAATAAGAGAAAACGAAAAGTATTTTCTAAAATGGTAACTAAATGTATATAAAATTGAGAAAGAGTAATTTAAAGAATGTAGAAATAAAGAGTAGAAAGCATTTAAAGATGAATTGAACTTGGTTTTGAGTGGGGCATAACATAGTCATTTAAGTCCAAAGAGCTACACATTTTTATCTGTATAACGATTTCACAAGAAATTTATGCTCCCTCCATTTCAATTTAGTTGTCATTTTAGGTTTTAGCACACAGATTAAAAAATATTTATTCTTACATATTTTCAAGATAAAAACATAATTACCTATACACCAAACTACTTTTCAACAAATAGAAAAATAGAATATTATATAAAATTAATAAAATTTATCTCGAAACTCTAAAACGACACTTAATTTGTGACAAAAAAATAAACCTAAAATAACAAATATTCTGAAGCGGAGGAAGTATTATTCAGTACGTGGCATTTGCCACATCCCTTGCCAAGGTAGGTCCTCCCCTGTCTATATACTGGAAGCCAAAAAATCATCAGTAAATACGTATATTGATATGCATAAGCATAACAGTGTCTAAGTTCAAAGGATGATAAACATAACTGATGGCAACATATTCTATAAGATTAATTTAATTTGTGATAAAAATTGTTAACCATTCCAATAAGATTTCAACAGTTGTATCTGTGAGAAAAATAGTTAACCATTCAAATAAGATCTCAACAGTTGTATCTCCACTATCTTCAGATATTGCAGTATCGATCATAATTCCACTTTATCTGAACTGGTTAGCTAAATAGTTAGCAGTTTTTTGTTATGTGAACATGTTAAGATATCTACACTGGATCGGATGAATACCAAAAAAACTCTATATAGCAATCATCAAAACGAATACAAAAAAAGGAAAAAAAGAAAGAGTGACGTCTAAACAAAGCTTTCCACAAATTATAGAACACACAAAACAACTGTCTTTTGATATATATATATATATATATTTTATTTAAATAGGAAAATCTTCTAATAACTCTGGAAATAGTTTTTATGATCAAAGTAACACATAAGAATGATTAAAATAAGTTTTATTAAAGACGAGAATATACTTTTTATAAAAGTATTTAATATTGTAGACGAAAAACAATATATTTAATATAAATAGATTTTTTAAAATATTTATTTATAATACATTTTTACTCTAAATCTGAAACCCTAATTCATAAGCTTTATTTGCATTCCAAAAAGTTAAACTCTAATTCTAAACTAATTAATTCTAAAGGTAAATTTTTCTTTTAACTTTTTAATGACTGTTATTTTGATTATTTTTTCATTAAATTATTTTTGTGATAAAAACATTTTAACGCTATTCTATTTAAATATCTGTTCTGTTTTTTTTTTCATTTGTAAAAAAGAGAGCACGACAGGTTTGATGATGTCGGAAAGAAAAGTTAGAAAATGTATATAAAATAAAATAATAAAGTAGAAAAGGACTTTAAAGAAGAATATGGTCACTAGCTACCAGACATATGGGTCCCGATTCTCATCACTCTCTTCGCACACACTACCTAAAATAATAATCCTTTCTTTCTCTTCTCCCTCAGCTCTCTCCAGTTTTCAAGAAACCCTTAAAATCCTCTCTCTGTCTGTCTCTGTCTCTGTCTTGTTTGTTTTCTTGTTTCCTTCTCTCCTCTTTCTTTGTCTCCTTCTGAATCTGCACTCTCAGGTGTTTCCAAGTTCTTATCCTTGACTTCCAAAAAATACTTTCTCTTTTGTGTTTAGTTTTGGATTCTTAGAGCTCTTTCTTGGTGGGTGTTTTTATTGTGGTCTCTAAAATGATTACTGAGCTTGAGATGGGGAAAGCTGAGAGTGAGCTAGAACTGGGTCTAGGACTCAGTCTTGGTGGTGGAACAGTGGGCAAGATTGTTAAAACAGGTGGTGGTGGTGGTGGCGCGTGGGGAGAGCGTGGGAGGCTTTTGACTGCAAAAGATTTTCCTTCAGTTGGCTCTAAACGAGCTGCTGACTCTGCTTCTCATGCAGGTTCATCTCCTCCTCGTTCAAGGTTCGTCTTTTAATTCAAGATAAAAGCTTAATTCCTTCTTAGCTTTTTGGCTAGAAGAAACAAAAATTTAGGAATTTCATAGAATAATCTTTGAAAAGTGTTTATTCTCTATGCGTAATGTGAGTGAAACTCTGTTCTGAGAACAGAGTTTGCCTTGGAAAAGTCAAAGATTCTTAGGTTTTAGCTTTGCTAAAGGTAGCTCAATTTAACTCCACTACGTAATTTTTCTAGAAGCTATTGTTTGACTATTGCTAGAGCTAGCCCAGTTACTCAGGTTGACCCAGTTAACTTATGTAGGAAGAAATGCTCTGTTTTTGAAATTAGGAGTCTTGAAAAACTTGAATCTGTTCTTGTTTTGATTCCTTTTGATGTTCACAAGTCCTGAGTGATGTTTAATTTTGTGTGTTTGCAGTCAAGTTGTGGGATGGCCACCTATCGGATCTCATAGGATGAACAGTTTGGTTAATAACCAAGCCACAAAGTCAGCTAGAGAAGAAGAAGAAGCTAATAAAAAGAAAGTGAAAGATGATGAGACTAAAAACGTTACAAAGAATGTGAATGAAAAATTTCAAGTTGGGTTTATCAAGGTGAACATGGATGGAGTTGCTATAGGAAGAAAAGTTGATTTGGATGCTCATTCTTCTTACGAGAATTTGGCGCAAACACTTGAAGATATGTTCTTTCGCAGTAGCCCGTGTACTATTGGGTTAACGGGTCAGTTCAACAAACCTTTGAGGCTTTTAGATGGATCATCTGAGTTTGTACTTACTTATGAAGATAAGGAAGGAGATTGGATGCTTGTTGGTGATGTCCCATGGAGGTAAAAGATCTAAAAGCCATGAGTTTATCATCTCTTATAGTCTGATGAGTGTTTGATACTGATCTTTATTGTTTTTTTTTTTTTTTAAATATAAATCTTAGAATGTTCATCACCTCGGTGAAAAGGCTTCGGGTGATGAAAACCTCTGAAGCTAATGGACTTGGTATCTAGACTTATCTCTTCTTGTTTTTTTTTTGTTTTTTTAATAACAATACTGGACTAAAACATCTTAGTATATGCAGCTGCGAGACATCAAGATCCGAAAGAGAGACAAAGAAACAAACCTGTTTAGCTCTCTTTTTCGACCTTTTACATTGTTACAGTTTTTCTTTTCTTGTGTGTGTGGGGGGGGGGGAGGGTGTTTTGCAAGTTTGAGATACTTGTGAAGCAAGGCATAAGGAAGAAACAGAAGCTAAATTGATCTTAATTCAGTTTGTGTTGCGTATGCTTTTTGGCTCTTCTGATGGTTGTTTTTTCTTTAGATTGTTTTTTTTTGGTAGCTGTCGTTTTATTTTACTGTTGTCATTTCATCATATACTAGGGAAGAGAATGCTCTTTATTTCTTTTACTACACTGTAAGTATGTGAAACTTATCTAATATGGCTTTTTAAAGGTTTTGTAACAAAACTTTGTTTATGAGTTTGCTCTGATTGATCCAAGAAAGTATCCACGTGTCTTCAAATGGGAAAGAAGACAATAGAAATCCAAAATTTTCTCTTTATAACATAAGCAACAAAAAACAATTTGATACTTGCCCAAAAAAAGAATTTGATAATGAGAAAAGATATAGAGGGATGAGAGGCAAAGCAGAGCAACCTTCTGACTTGACTCTGAGACTTAGGCTTCGAATGGAGAATACATATCAGAAAATGCAGATCAAACAAAACAAATACAGATCATGCAGATTAAGCAGAATATATGCAGATTAAACAGAATAAATTCATTTCAAACTAATTTAATAAATTATCATATTTAAATTAAATTTAAAATTTTTAATTAAAATTAAATATCAAAACAAATATAACTTATTATAAATAAGTAATAAATATCACGTTAACACAAATTACAATAAATACCATCATTTTGATAAAATATAATGAAATTTTAAATTATATGAAAATTCATCAGAAATCAAAATTATAAAGAGTATTATTATTTTGCTCTTATTTTTGTATTTTTTGCAGTTTGTGATTCTTTCCTACCATTTCGTTCAACTAAAAAACTAATATAGTCAATTTTATATATGTTATTGTATTAGCAAAATTTTTATTTGAATTTTTAAAATATAAAATTTATCGTAACATATTAAAATTTTCATAATTCAGCAAAGCATGATTAAATTCAAAACATATTTTGATTTTTTTATTTGAATGGCTTGGGCATTTCGGGTATCGGTTCTGTTCATGTAGTTTGGTTATCGGATAATTCGGGTAGAGGTTTAAAGGATCGATTTACTACTTGACATCGGTTCGGTTTGGATAGTAAAATTAGAAACCAGAAAGTACCCGAAAAAAATTCGCTTCTCATTTGATTCTGGTTTGGTTAGTTCAGATAGTTAATGTTAAATATCAGGTATTTTTGGTAATACAGTGAATAATTACAATAATTTAGATAAAAATCTCTAATAGTTTGTGTAATATAAATATAATTATATTCTATATATATAATTAATATTTTATATATTTGGGTATCCATTTTCGTTCTCGGTTTGGTTTCGGTTCGGTTCAGTTATTTCGGTTATAGAAATATAGGAACCATTTGGATATTTGAGATATAAGAAGGCACACATGTATATGTGAAAATAAAAAAAATATGTTTGACATTTTATTGATATTATTATATTTAAAATTAATAAAAAATATTATTGGATATTCATTGTTTAAATGTATTTGGTGATTATAACAGTAACTATTTAAATGTATCTCTAGTTAATATATAAATTTTTAATAGTATGCATAAATTCATCAAACTAATTTATATAAAATATAAGATTTAAAATTAATTAAATGTAAGATACAAGTACATGTATGTGTTATTTTTAAGATCCTAAATTTTTAATAATTTATTTCATAATCTAATTAAAAATATACCCTTTTTTATTGATGTAAAGACAATGTGAAAATAAAAGAATTAAAAACAAAATAATTTCTCATTTATAATTTTATATTAAAGTTCGTCAAATATTATAACACAGAAATTAAAAATGATAAACTTTATTTTGAGGAAAAAAATAGTTTGTTAAATGAATGAAATGCAATAATGAAAATTATTTATTGTATTTAAAGAATAAAAGAAAAAAAACTATCAAGGGCATTAATTGGCTATCTGTGTCTCGGCAACACCCTTTCTTCTAACAATTGCAGGACAAAATTTTAAAGAGAAAACTAATCTGCATGCAGGTCATTTTAATTTATTCTTGTTCTGCGCTTATAACATGAATGAGTGATAAATGCGGTTTTCTCTGCAAATTAAATGACATGCATTATATCTGCATATGTTCTGCAGCACATTCAAAGCCTTAGGGTTTGAATTTTAGGCAGAGGAAAAGCAGAACAAAAATAGGAGAATTGTAATGCAGTTCTATCTGCATTAATTGCCCATTGACCATTTTTTTTGCAGAAGAAAAGAAATAATAAAATAATTACTGAACTGTATGTAGAACATTTTATTTGTAAAACATTTGTACTGCATATTCCTAGATAAAAGGACTGGCCAAATACAGAGGCCCAATAAGATGTTTTTTTTTGTTTTTATTTTTTATTTTTACTATACACAATTTCATTTTTATGCATAAACTAATTTTTTTTCAAATATTAAGTTTTTAGTTTTCTTTTGTTTTCACATATAATAATATTAAGAATTTTTTTATAAGATTATGTGAAATGATATTATATATTATACACACTAATATATATAGTTACTTAATCTGCAAAAAGTATTTATACACATTTTTGTATGCTACAAAATATATGACTACACTAAATAATCGCATAAGATTTATATAAATATTAAACATATATAGTTGACTATATTTTTAGTATTGGTGATAATTTAACATAAAAAGTATCTAACAGTGTGTACAAAATTTAAATTTAAACTTTTAATATTTTTATATAAATAAGTAAAAATTATTCATGTATTTTGTTACTTGCTTATATTTATATATATTTAATAATTATTTTATCATCGTTTAATCTTTATAAACAATGAAATAACAAATATTATTTTTATACCTTCATACATATAAATATTCTAACACATTCGACCAAAAGTTCAATTTTGATAAACAATACTAATTATTTATTTTGATTTAGGTACAAATTTAACTTATACTCGTAGGTTATATTATAATATACACATAGCATTTTCATATTTCTTTCTATAGTTTCACATATGCAATATTTTTATTTTCTGTTTCATTTTTAAAAAAAAAATTGATTTGTATATATACATCAGTTAAAAACAATTTAAAAATTAAGATATTATTTTCATTAGTTTATTCAATAAATGATAAAATATCAAACATATTTTTTTCTCACATATACATGTACAGTGAAACCTCTATAACTTTAATGTTGGGACTACACCAAAATTTTAATTTTTTATTAATTTAGAGAGATATTAATTTATAGATATACTAATTGAACCAAAAACTCAATTTGGGACTATAAAATTATATTAATTTTTATAGAGATATTTAGTGTATATTAATTTATCGAGTATTAATTTATAAAGGTTCTACTGTATGTATTTTTAAATTTTTAAACAATGATTTTGTTGATACAAAACATATATTAAATTGACAATACTGGTTCTTTAAATGAAGGAAATAGTAAGAAAGAACCAAAAATTGAAAGAAAATACAAAAAAATTAAAAGCAAACAAGAATACTTTTTATAGTTTTTATTTGTGAAGAATTTTCATATAATTTAAAATTTCACTATTAAAATCATGATACTTATTGTTATTTGTGTCAATATGATATTTATTACTTATTTATAATAAGTTGTATTAGTTTAGATTTAATTTTAATTAAAAATATTTATTATTTATGTAAATTTAATAATTTATTAAATTAATTTGATCTGTATTTCTGTTTGATCTGCGGTTTTTTGATCTGCGTTCTCCATTCAAAGCCTTAGCCTAAGATGGAGAGCCATTTTAGAATATGTTCCAAAGATAATCTTTTTAGAGCCATTTTAGAATTTGTTCCAAAAACAAGTTTTTTTCTTTATCTGCATCACATATATATACAGAGAGAATGATGACATTTACCATGAATTTTATTTTCATTTTATACGTTAAATTCACACAAACGAATGTTTTATATTGATCTTTTGTAAAATAACATTTTAAAATATGAAAGTTACTGGTCATTCATATTGTAGACCGAATAAATTATAAATTGATATGTATCATACATTTTGTTGTACATTATTATCTCAAATTAAAATAATGATTTATATCATATAACAAAATATAATGGGGGTAATTTCCCAATATTCATAGCAGATCTAAATATGAAGAATATAGTTATACCCAATGTGATATGACAATTAACACTGAATCTGTACAATTTTCTCCTTTGACGCGGTTGCACGTCTTTAAGAGGCGAGTGGATAATTTTACCTTACCATTCTAATACAAATAGTTATATGAAAACACCACATGACATTTGAGAGGATGACAACTAGAAAACAAGATATTATAATACATATGAAGTAGTATAGACACTGAAAAAGCGAAAAACGACATAAGTTTATGTGTAGTGAGGGCTCCAAAATGGATTCCAATAACAGAAATTGGAGGCAAAACAAATGTTGTATACTATCTATTATATAGTATAGAAAACAATGATGAATAGGAAATAAGGTTGGACCGTGAAAGCATAACATGAGGTATAGCACATGTGTACATATGCAAGTACAAATAAGACTATTACGTAGAAGAGACAATATAGTAAAAATATAACAAACGACATCACACGGCAACTGCATTCAGTCTGTTGCAAAATTACTTCGGCATGTTGGTAGGTGAAAGAAAAGTATGTGGGCTGTTGGTACGTGGAACAGAGAACACAATATAGTAAACATACTGTAAATGAAAGTAGTCTACAACCACAATTGCCATGTATGGATAAGTTTCATACTATACTTTAGTATATCGTAGAT